CCCATTATTAAGGACAATTTTCATTTTCTTATTTTTAACTAAATATTTCTTATTTTTTTATTTTTTGTATATGTCTGAAGTATAATAATGTATTATTTTCCGAACACTGTCAGAACGATATCTAAACAAGTCACTAATCCTAAAATATGTCCGCAATGTAGACGATTTTTTTTTAGCAAAAAAAAAACAAAAAAAAAAACAATTTTAACCTAAACTTTACCATAAACTGAGTCAAAAAAATAAACTCCCATTCTTAGACGTTCTCGTAGAATACTGTAATAACACATTCACCACTTCATTATGTAAAACACCTATTAGCAGAAACTCTTGCCACATCAATTTTAAAAGTGAATTCCCACTTAGATATAAAATAGCAGTTATTAAAAAATTCCTAAATGGAACACATGAGAATTCATCCTCTTGTCCACTTTTCTTTAAAGAACTCAGTAATGCAAAACATACTAGTTAACAATGGTTTTCCAAACTAACTCATCGACCAAGAGATTAGACCATCTCTTTAAACTGTAACTAATAACAATATTGAACATACAATAAAAACAATAACATTAACATCTACAAAAGCCAAATACATGTCAGCTATAAGCAAGATGAATTTTCTCTTAGAAATATCATAAAGAAATACACAACCCTAGTTGACCCGAACAAGAAAATAAAATTATCTATCAGAGACAAATTTAAAACAGCTCACCATATCATATAAAAAACAACACACCTGTAAAATCAAAACTTCAAAGGATCAAATGCTTCTTAAGGAACTATGTTCAGCATCAAACCAAACTAATATAATAAAATAAAATAATTACATTGGTCATACTACGACATGCCTATCTAGACGACTTACGTTACATCTACCTGACCACAGCTCTATTAGGACTCATTTAACCACACGAAAATCTACCAGACTCCATCCGAAATATACAAGTAGAAAATACAAGGATAATAGATTCATTCACATGCAAAAAGAAAATTAAAATTAATGGAAGCCCTAAAGATAAAAAGGAAAGGCCAACACTTAATAACATTAACTATGAACACGGCCACAATGTGCTGACCGTGTTCGAATAATAATACATTCTTATAACTTCAAACTAATACATAAAAACATATTTAGTTACAAATAAAAAATAAAAATCACACTTGATAATGGCTAAAAGAATAGCTGAAAGCGTTTGAATATGCAGAACGTTTGGATAGTTTTTACTTTATGTCCAGAAAAGAAAACACTTGTAGGAACACAAGAAAAATTAAATAAAAAGTTTAACGGTAATACCCTCTTAGTCATCTTTAATTATATATATATATATATATATATATATATATATATATATATATATATATATATATATATAAATTAATTGATTTAAAATATGGTTATTTTCGCTATACAGTTCCAACCATGTTTCAAAAATAGAAGCTAAAACCCCTAATTTTATTTTTGCAAATAAATTAAAAGCATTAGTTCCATTTCATCTTCAAGCGAATTTTGGAGTAACTTTTAAAATTTACCGGTTTTTTAAATACACAGCTAAAATCACGTTTCCATGGTTATATATAATATTCTATATATAAATTGAACATATATATATATATATATATATATATATATATATATATATATATATATATATATATATATAAAAAAAAAATAAAACGGAAGAATATTTATATATAACACAGTGTATCTGAAGATTTTAATTTTTAACATTTTTATGGTTCAACGCATGCACCTCGGCGTGGTGTAACGGTTAGCAAGCTTGTCTCGCTAGATCAGTTACAACTGAAAAGTGAGTTCGATCCTCACTAGATGCCTCATACTTTCGGCTTTGTGCCACATCTAAGCTATGCTTGGACCATAACTATATATATATTTTCCCTTACCGATATCACGACACGGAGTTTCATGCAAAACGCAATCTTCAGGTGATAAGTAAAGACTTACGTAATTTAAATTTTAAAAATACATCCGGTTATTGCATTGTTGGCGCAGTTATATATTATATAGGGATTACAGTTTTTTTATTTAAAAAATTATATTTGGCTTTTAAAATAAACGGGATTTATATATATATATATATATATATATATATATATATATATATATATATGTGTGTGTGTGTGTGTGTGTGTGTGTGAAAAATATTTTAGAATAGTGAATATCAATTATTCATTTTTTATTTTAGAGGAGATCACTTGTTCTTTAAAAATAACTAATTTACATTAAGAAATAAATCTAAATTAACATTAAAAATTAATCTGGATCAACGTATTTAAGCAGATATTTATTTTTATGTCTACAGGACTGGTCTCTCTAAACATTTCTGGCAGCTAAAGAATGATAGTAATTCACCTTTTATTTTATAGCAAGAGTCAAATGGTATAATGTGAAAGGAAATAGATGTAACTTCTTTCTTGTTGAAAAATTGGTTATCTTAAAACACTTAAATGACCCTAGGTTATTAAACAAGAGAAATAAATTGATGATTACATGTAGGCACAAAAATAAATATCTACTTAAAACCGTTGATCCAGATTCATTTTTAATGCAAATTACGGTTTGCTTCTTGATTTTTTTAAGAATAAGTAATCTCCCTTTAATCTAAAAATAAATAATTAATATTAACAACTAAAATAATTATATATATATATATATATATATATATATATATATATATATATATATATAAATCCTGTTTATTTTAATATGAGATATGAGGGTCGATCCATATTAATGTCTCCTGCTTCATTACGTCAGATCACGATAAAAGATACCGATAATAGTGGTATGGCAGTAGAACTGTAATTTTCCAGAAAGCAACACTTCTAGCCTTGTTCAAGAGAGTAGCTAAGCGGCTATCTGGGAAAATGTCGTCTGACATGAAAGCTCACACAAAGCTGAGGCGTTTCCTTGCGGAAATAATGAACTTCATCAAAACGTGATACGTATTTACGGTTATCAAAACAAGGGAGTGAACCCAGCTAAACCGAGGGTGATGCGTTTCATCCCAGGCAGAGGCAATTTGCGCAACAAACCAAGCTTTCAGTGGTTCGGCACAGCTGTCAATCGATCAAATGCAGAGCCTATAGTGATGACATGTACAAAATAGGGTTTTCTATCGGAAAATTTGCTCTAATCAAAGGTGTTATTGTATTGCACGAAAATTAATTATAGGAGAAATAAGTAAAAGGTATTACTTTCGGTGTGTTCTTTTCCTCTGCCCATGCATACACGCACACACACACACACACATATATATATATATATGTGTGTGTGTGTGTGTGTGTGTGTGTGTGTGTGTTCGTTGACTCATGCGTGTGTAAACAACAAAATAAAGGAAACCGTGGAGAGCCATGATCGCTGACGTCTTAAAAAGACATGCCATATAGTGTGACTGAGTTGGGTTAAATGAATTGAAATTCCAACTTAGCCATACAACAAGGAATGTTGTATGGATCCGTGGTTCATAATTGGGTGGGTGCGTCCCTCTAACGTGCGTGGGAATTTTGGGACTATGAGAGGAATTTGTTGCAGGAGAGCTGCAGTCATTTGGTACTCATGCTATAAAAGTGCACGACTGAGATAGATAGATAGATAGATAGATAGATAGATAGATAGATAGATAGATAGATAGATTTGAACAGAGATATATACATAGAAATAGAGCAGAGATATAGACGCACATTAGATAGATAGATAGATAGATAGATAGATATGAACAAGATTAGATAGATAGATAGATAGATAGATAGATAGATAGATAGATAGATAGAGTTTGATAAATAAGACTAAGTAGAAATATAGGTACACATTACATCCGAAAATTTGATAGATAGATAGATAGATAGATAGATAGATAGATAGATAGATAGATAGATAGATAGATTTGAATACAGAATCATAGACACACAAATAGATAGACAGGTAAGAAAAGTTAATAGATAAATGGGAACATTTGATAGATTACCCTCATACAAGGCATACACATTGTGTATATATATATATATATATATATATATATATATGTGTGTGTGTGTGTGTGTGTGTGTGTGTAATATTGTGTCAACTGGAGTATGTTGAATTTTAATATAACCCATAACTAGCTATGATTAATCATGCGTTTTTAATTAAAAGACTTCTTTAATAAGCCAGAAACCCAAACGGTTAAGATATTCACACAATCACAAGAACTATAAAGCATTAAGATCGTTTAGACCCTCACGTGTACAGCAGCTGCAGTAGTAATGTGTGTGTGTCGAGGGTAAAATAACCCGAGTGCGACTATCACTCTACAGACACTTTTTGAATTCAGAGTAGTCATTCTCCTAGACTGGTTGCCACCCAAGGCAAGACAGCGCCATCTACTCTGCTCTCTATAACACATATATTTATAAGGCGTAGTAATTACCGTTAAAATTTGATAATGTAACATAAGTTAGCATGAGTATGTCTTTGTTATAGTGTCTTTGGTATAAACTGCTTGCTTTTTCGTTGCTATTCACTTGGCATATGACGCAGCCTTTTTGTTATAATGCCTTTGGTATAAGCCGCTTGCTTGTCTTTTGAATTTTCTTTGCTATTAAGCCGCAAAATTATTTGCTGTACTGTCTTTGGTATAAGCCACAACTTATTTCTTCTAGTGCTTTTGGTATAAGCTGCGAGTCAGTTATGCTGTCTTTAATATAAGTCGCGGGCTTATTTGACGCCCTTTTAGAGTTTTTTTTTTTTTTTTTTTGTACAGTTTATTTTTACTGAGAAGTTGTCGTCTGTTTCCACCCGACCTCACGTTCTTCTGCCGCCAACTCCTGAAGCTGAGGTAAAGTAAGCGTATTTTTAAGAGTAGCTTTTGGTTGAAAGTGCAAACAACGTAAACATTCATCAAACCATTGCGTTGGTTTTTGAAATTGGGCATTGTTGATTTTCAACATGTGCAATATTATCATGATGATCATCAAAACCTTCTCTGACATTTTCCAGCGCGGTTATGAGTTCAACAACATCCTGGTCACTTAGGAGTTCATCCCCAAATCCGTCTACATTGAATCAATCATTTATTTCTGTTTCATTTATATCGATGTTTAAGGCTGCAAATTAGCCAATCAAATCTTCTCTCGTCACTGCGATTGGAACTACGGCATTATCAGTGGAATCATTTTTTATCAAACGTTGAGATGTATTTTCTTAATTCTCAAAACGCTTGTCAGTGATGAAATATTAAACAAGATAATTGAAAGATTTTCGTCTAATTTCAATTTTTCTCTTCATTCCGCGTCCAGATAATCAAATTACGATAAATGAAGGTATGAATAATCGATGACATCGTTTTTTCATCATTCCGCCCTCCTCCCCCCTCCAGCAAAGTGACAAAGCCACTAGATCTCAAGGGGTTACTGAGAGTGAAAGAAACATGGAGGACAATAAAAGAACGGAGTTCAAGGAGACACAAGATGACGATTGACATTGCATTCAAATTTTTGAAGATCGTAGCTGTCAAGAAAACAAAAAACCCAGAAGAGAGTTCCACAAGCGAAGCGTGCAGGAGAAGAAAAGATTAGCATAGAACTTACGGTTAGATCTAGAAATTTTAACCGTAATGTGGTAAGATCTAGGTGCCAACCAAATACTGTGTTTAAATTTGTAAAGTTGAAGTACTAAAGAGGAAACCTCGTCAGAACAGTTATCGTGAAAATATTGTTGTATAAGAGTAAGTGTCGTTGCCGACATTGTGGTTTGAAACTAGATCACCAGTGACCAACACGGGCGATTCCATTATTAAGTAGATCACGTGATCATAAAGGAAGTGAATAAATAGGAAGCAGCGCAATGACTATATGATCATTGCTCACTCTTCTTGTCTATCCAATATTGATATACGTTCATTCGCTCTACTCTACTACTATACGGATTACGATTCTCTTCTGATTATTATACTATTTGGCGATTACTACTTGAACAAGTATTACTAGTGCGGATATTATTAGAAGGCGTTACTATTAGTTCCAAGAAGGTGCAATGAGTTTCCCTCTTGGAGGTTAGCATCAGCCACGCTGATTTTAAAGCAAAAACGATTCTCTAAGCTAATTAAGAAAGGAGAGTTTCGTTTTGGTGGCGTTAAAAATTAACAAGGATATTTCTTGCCCCAGTAAACAACAGATTGAACGTCATTTTCGAGATCAGATTCAATTTGATTTTATAGAACCTATCAAAGGTATTGTTACGACAGGAGTAAATAGTTGTAACATCAACATCGATACTTCGTGCGGAATTGATAACAATGATACTTCACCAGGAATTAATAGCATCGATAGTCCGTCCGAAATTGATAACATCGATAGTTCATTCGGAATTGATAGCATCGATAGTTCGTTCGGAACGGAATTAATGCATCGATAGTGCGTTCGGAATTGTTAGCATCGGTAGATCGTTCGGAATTGATAGCATCGATAGCTCGTCAGGAATTGATAGCATCGATAGTTCGTCCGGAATTAATAGCATCGATAGTTCGTCCGGAATTAATAGCATCAATAGTTCGTCCGGAATTGATAGCATCGATAGTTCGTCCGGAATTAATAGCATCGATAGTTCGTTCGGAATTGATAACATCGATAGTTCGTCCGGAATTGATAGCATCGATAGTTCGTTCGGAATTGTTAGCATCGGTAGATCGTTCGGAATTGATAGCATCGATAGCTCGTCAGGAATTGATAGCATCGATAGTTCGTCCGGAATGAATAGCATTGATAGTTCATTCGGAATTGATAACATCGATAGTTCGTTGGGAATTAATAGCATCGATAGTTCGTCCGGAATTAATAGCATCGATAGTTCGTACGGAATTGATAGCATCGATAGCTCGTCAGGAATTGATAACATCGATAGTTCGTCCGGAATGAATAGCATCGATAGTTCGTTCGGAATTGATAACATCGACTCGATATCTATGCTGATGACCCAACGATTTACTAATGTCTTAAATAATAAACTGTAGAGTATTAACGAGTACCCACCATTTATGGCCTTGTGCCATGGAAAACTGAAATAATTTAATTTCAATAATAGATTTAATTTAAAGCTAATATTGCGTTTTCTTTTGCTAAAAGCAGTTTTTCATTTTTCTTATTTCATATTTCTCATTCTACCCTCTTCACGCGTGAGCAACGGAGATCGCCAAGACACATTTTCGGTGTTACTGCCTTTCTTTTTAATAAAGAATCAGTGAGTGCCAGAGTTTATAGAGTTCAACAGCTTGTACCCGATGACCCTCGACAAACACAGCATCGCAGTCGTTCGTTTCTCCACAGCGAGCCGACCACCAGCCATCCACCCACCCCTACTACCCCAAAACGCAGGCTCGGCACTTCCGGCCTGCGCACTTGTTCCTCTGATGACGACGGCCTCGGGTTGAGTAGCGTCTTGCATGACAGGAGTGGCCTCGCCATGACAAACCTGACCGTCCTCTCACCACAGGCGCCTTCCGCTGATCATGCAAATGCGGATACGGTTATTGCAGTAAAGGGGTGGGGGGGGAGGATGGGTTAACACTTCTTCGAAGCCTAACCTTGCAGAATATATCATAATGCTGCTTTTTAGCTAATGACTTAATCCTCAATGGACCGCTGTTTGTTCCACAATAAACAATGAGAATACATTAAAAAGTAGCATAAAGATTTAAATTAAATATAAGCCCCCTCTTATACTAAAAGCACAACATAATAATTCATTTTTATTTATATTATTTATTTAATATTCATTCCTTGGTTGTTATTGTCACAATGTTTCGACTGTTGTGACGTTCAGCCTTTCTTGAGGTGTCTGTCGATAACTGTCAATTAAATTCGAACTTTCTGAACCCTTTATTTTATTTATTTAATATCTACGGGGTTGGATTGCTCTCTTTTCTCTGTCCCATCATCTTGTTCGCTTTTAGCGCTACTCAATTAACGTTCATTCTGTTTCCAACTAAGAATCGTCCAGGGATTGAACTTACAATTACTATGTTGCCCATGTCTAGCGATATCTCGCCTAGTTTTCGTCTTACACCTGCACGGTTATTTCCACGAAGTCTGCGTCTGTATTATCCGGCACCCAAAATTGAACTTACAATAATTAAAATACTGAGTTTAATCCCTGAGCCGGTTATTAGAGACTTAAATTCAGTGGAAACAAGACTGGTAATAAATGAATTGTACTAAGACGAGAAGAAGTTTTGGTATCTCTAAACATGGTTAGCGGAACAAGAAAATCTAGCCTTCATGATAATATATAAGGGTTCAGTTCAAAATTCTCTGAAGATTACCTGAAGAAGGCAGGAGGACACAAAGGCCGAAACGTTATGATAACAATAACAAATAGAACATTAATCCGAATGTAAATAGTGTAAATAATGATAATTCAGACAATAATTAATTTTTGTTTGTAAATCTGAGGCGAAGAGCATCCTTTCGATTCATGACTGATTTCCCGCAGTAGGCTGCCGTTTCTTTCTGCGGTAGACCAGTTGCCGCCCAAGACCCAGTCTGTCCTACTAATTATTCATATCTAGCGGCGGGGAGTGAAGAGTTGGATTCATACCTTTCCCAAGGGTATTAGCAAGTAAGTGAATGCAATGAATTCGACTGGAATTCGAACTCTGCTTTCCGATTCCTCAAACCGAGTTTACTGTTATAAATTAATTTATCATAATTATCAGCTAATGTTTCTTTCAGTCTTTTTCATTAATAATGAGAATGCTTTTTAAGGAATTTGAACAGCTTAAGACTATTATATCGACTACTTGAAGTTGTAAACAATTCGTTTTTACATTCTAAGCTAACCTATACTACAAGAATTTTACAGTCTAGTACAATAGACCATGCTACTGTACTGAGTTTAATCCTTACAGGGAACCCCATAATTGTGGCCTTATACCATACTAAGCTAACTATTGATGTTATTTAAACATTTACTATTTCTTTAAAAGAAGAATATTTAGTTATGTGCCATGCGTGATACATAACTGAGGAGGCAGATTTTTCCCGCAGAAGGTTGCCATTTCTTTCTACGGTAGACCAGTTGTTATCCATCGCTATAGAGCCCGGTCTGTCCTGATATTTACCCATAGCTAGTGGGGGAGAAGAAAAGGAATTATACCTTTCTCAAGAGTATTAGCACGCAAGTGAATGTAATGGATTTGACTGGAATTCGAACTCGGCTCTCCGATTCCTCAATCTGAGCCGTTATAACTGTAAAAATTACTCGACGAATACAACGTTAACGCCTTTTTAAAATATATTTTAAACAACCCAGTAATGTTAAAAATTAGAAATATTATATAAACTAATTTATCCCTATTGTCAGCTAATGTTTCTTTAAGTCTTTTTCATTAATAATGAGAATGCTTTTTTTTAAGGAATTTAAACAGCTTAAGACTATATATATCGACTACTTGTAGTTATAAACAATTCGTTTTTACATTCTAAGCTTAACCTATACTACAAGAATTTTACAGTCTAGTATAATAGACCATACTACTGTACTGAGTTTAATCCTTACTGGGAACCCCATAATTGTGGCCAAGACACATTTTCGGTGTTACTGCCTTTCTTTTTAATAAGCTAACTATTGATGTTATTTAAACATTTTCTATTTCTTTAAAAGAAAAATATAGTAATATAGAAAAATGTGATTTACATCTACCCGTTAACTTTTGTGGGCTATTCGGTAAGATATGTTTTCCAAAAATACGAGTTCAAATCCAGTCAAAAGCTCAGTCTTTATTTTCGATCAATGCTGCTTATTTAATAGTCGAAAATGCAAGAACAACTTGAATATTGTGATGAACAAGCATCAAAATTGGGTGCAAATAAAACTTAATGACTAGACCAAAGAGTCCCAAAGTGGGGATAATTACCCCTGAAGGGGTAATTTGAGATTTTTCTGGGGGGGGGAGGGTAACGGCAACTTATAAAAAAATCCTATTTGCTTTGCAAATAGAGGAGAGAATATAAGAATATTAAATTTCACTGTTCGCCTTAAACACTTTTTGGGGGTTAATAAGCGTTACTCATTTTTTTTTTTTTTTTTTTTTTTTGAATAATGTAATCCTTCCTAAAAGTTTTGGTACTATTGGTCTAGACAGCTTCAACTTTTCAAAAATGTAATAACTTTGACTGGGTTTCCCGATCATCGGGCCACCTTTAAAAGCTCAGTACTGAATAGTGAATTTCTCTACTTGGGACTTTTGGAGTTATTAAAATAAGCTGGACCAACACGAGAAGTAGTGCGATTTAAAAAATTTAGTAACACTGAGCTTTCAAATATAACCTAATTCACTATTTTTAGCATAAAGTAAAATCCCTGATTTTTGAGTTGGTTCTCATAACGCCAACTTTTATGGGTAAAAATCCGTAAAATTCTATTCCATAGTATCCTCTCTCTTTTTTAATATTTTTTTTTTACAGTAATCGGGACGTGGCGGAGTAATTAGAACGTTCGCTCTCTGACCTGGGTTCGAATCTCATCGCGGTCGATTTCTCAGGAAGGTGACTTCTTGATGTTGTCGATTTGGGAGCCGTCGATGATTATGCTAGCACAAAATCGCAAGTCATCGTGACCGATGATTTAAGCGTACTGGCCTTCTTAAGACTGTTGAACATGACAGATAATCAGCTCTTTCCCAGAACCTGTAACTAAGATCCGTTCAGCATAGCTGCATTATAAACTACAGGCGGGCGCTGTGGATGGTGAACAAACATAAATATGCCTGAGCAGGCGTCCGCAATAGGGATTGTCTAGCCGTTCTAGTAGACAGGTATATTCGGGTGCCAGCGGCCAGTCACCATTTACAGTTGGACTGATAAACTTATTTTTATTATGATCACAACATTTCGGTTGTTGTGTTCTCTGGCCTTCTTCAGGTAAGCTTAAGGCAATTTTGAACTGAAGACTTTATTTAATCTATAGTGGGTTGACTGATATCGTTACGATGCCCATATCTAAGGATGTTTTCATTGATAAAGAATTCACTTCGAAATACCCTGAATACCCTCAGCTGAAAAAACACCTTAAGAAGAAATATTTTGATAATAACGACAAAAATCCGAATGTATATAATGAAAACTCTGCACCCCAGAAAATTAGACAAATCTCTCCCTCTCTTTCTCTCTCTCCATCTTTTTTTTTTTCTCTCTCTCTCTCTCTCTCTCTCTGTCTCTCTCTCTCTCTCATTCTATTCTCTCTTTTTCTTTCTCTTTCTCTCTCTGTTTCTTTTTCTCCCTCTCTGTTACCCCCGCTTTATTTCTCTTTCTGTCTCTATTTTTAAACCACTCTCTCTCTCTTTTTCTGTCTCTCTTTTTAACACACTTTCTCTCTTTCTCATTCTCTTTCTCTCTCTCTCTCTTTCTCATTCCCTTTCTCACTTTCTCTTTCTCCCTCACTATTTCTCTTTCTGTCTCTCTTTTTCTCGCACTCTCTATCTCTTTCTCATTCCCTTTCTTTCTCCCTATTTCCCCCTTTCTATTTCTCATTCTCTCTTTCTCTTTATCACTTTGTCATTCTCTCTCTCTCTCTCTCTCTCTCTCTCTCTCTCTCTCACTCTCTTTCTCTCCCTCATTCATTCACTCTACTTGTTCTCCTCTCCAAGAAGTGTTTGAAACTCAAAATACTCGAGTATTTTTTTGCTGCTATTTCAGTTTAAAATTTTACCATTTCAAATGCGTCGGTCCTAGCTCGAACTTTCTTCTTCAATGCACCCTGTAACTTCAGGACGTTGGAGATCATGGCTCTCCACAATGTCCTGTCCCTTTTAGCTGTTAAAAATTTTTATTTTTTTATTATCTCTCCTAAACCCTTTTCTGCTAACCATTTACCGTATATACTCGTGTATAAGTCTACTTCATATATAATGCAACCCCTGATTTCTTTTTTGGTGAAAAACCTGATTTTTATTTTCATATAGTTCGTTTACAATGCGACCCCAGCTTATGAGGAACACTAGTGGGCCTACGGTAGCCATATATTGAAGTACTGGACATCATCCGGGGCATATAGCAAATAAATGGTTTTCATTCTTTTTTATACAATGCTACCGAAACATGGTGAGAAAAACCACTCGCCGTAAAATATCTGATCCGAAGATTTCGATACGGTACTTTTGTTTTCGTGTATAGCGCAACCGGTCACCGAAAAATGCCCTTTAAAAGTTTACCTCTGTATAGTACGACCCACTTTTTAGCGTAAAAGCTGATCATAAAAACTCGCAATATACTTCAATATATCTCGCTAGGAAGCTTATACGTTGTTTTTCGCTGTCCCTCTTGCCTTCAATCAGTCCTGTGAGTATCAAATTTTCTAAGCCGTCTTTCCTCATTAAGTCCCCTAGAAACTTCACCTGTCTCTTCCTGATGTTAAGTATATGTATCATAGCTCTCCACAATGTCCTGTCCTTTGAAGCTGTTAAGAAATTTTATTTTTTGTTATCTCTCCTAAACCCTGTTCTGTCATCCATTTACCGTATAGACTCGTGTATAAGTCTACTTCATATATAGTGCGCCTATTTATTATTTTTTTTCCATATAGTTCGTCTATAATGTGACCCCAGCTTCTGAGCAATACTAGTGAATACGATCTCTGTTACGCTTGGTCAGCCTTCGTTCTAGATGCGGCAAATTCGGAGCTGACTCATCTGATTCCATGGTTTCTATTTAGACTATACTCTCATCGTATAAGTTAATATACCGTATAGACTCGTGTATAAGTCTACTTATAAGTCTAAGTGCGACCCCTGATTTCTTTTTTGGTGAAAAACTTGATTAAATTTTTCATATAATTCATGTAGAATGTAACTCCGGCTTCTGAACACTACTAAGTGGGCCTACGGTAGCCAAATACTGCAGTACTGAGTATCATCAGGGACATATTTTATAGGAAATAAATGATCTTTTTTATACAATGTTACCTTAAAATGGCGAGAAAAACCACTTACCGTAAAATATCTGATCCAAAGATTTCGATACGGTATTTTTGTTTTCGTGTATAGCGCAACCGGTCACCAAAGTCTTCTGATGTTTCCAGGTATCTTTGAAGACCGATTGTTGTGGCTTTCTATGACAGTTCTAGTTCAATAGGACAATAGCTCTAGGACAATAAAAGAACGGGATCCAGGAGGACATGTGCCTTTTGGTGTAATGGATATCGGTTCGGAATGAGAAATCGGGTTTGTTAAATTCCCTTACGTGTAAATACCCTTGGGGAAAGGTATGAATTCATCTCTTCTCCCCCTAGCTATGGGTTGCAAAGCAGGACAGATTGAGTCCTTTGTTGGCAACCAGTCTACCGCAGAAAGTAACGACAACCTACTGCTGGAAAAATCTTCTGCCTAGTCAGTCATGTATCGAAAGATGCATGATCGCCCAAGTGTGACTGATTGACTGATTTAGGAAGAATAGAAGACGGCTATTGACGTTTCATTTAAATTTTTGAAGATTTAATGCGGCAAGAAAGCAAGAAATTGAAAGGGAGTCCCACAACCGGTAAGTGCAAGCAAACAAAACTATCAGAATAGTACTGACGGTTAAATCTAACTCGTTCAACAATAAAACGGTGAGACCTAACTGCCAATCCAGTAGCGCACTTTACTTTATTAGAAACAAGGAAAAGAGCAGGGAGTATTGAACAATTTACTCACAGATAAAGAGGGCGCTTTAGGCAAGAATGACGTGGTTGATGCTGAGAAATACCATCGACGTCAGCAACGATGACCTTTTAAGAAAAATAAAAAATAAAATACGCTTATATCAGAAAAAAGATCATTGAAATTTCAAAGACGCATACCGAGGAAAGTGGGTTTGGAGAATTTCACACTCTCAGGGTATATAGAAACCACTTAATCCACTGTATCATGTGTCCTCGAGAACACATGGCACAGTGGATAAAGGCGTTGACAGGACCCACAGAGTGTGGGTTCAATACTCAGTTAAGGCAGTAGAGAACTTGGAGAGGGCAATTAAATAAATTAACATCCACTAAATATGGCACATAGAACTAAAACAGTCTACCCAATGAGCGAAATAAAGGTTTCACTTCGACATTCCAACCACCTGAAGAAGGCCAGAGTGTACAACGGCCGAAACGTTGTAATAAATATGGCGACAAAGATGAAGACAATAGTCCGAATAATGTAAATAATGTACATAATGTTAGACATTTCCATGAGTATTGAATCCAAGGGTTGGCAGTGAATATTTCCGAGACAGTAGGAACGCGTAGTGAAGGTTCGCAGTGGATATCACAGCAGAGTGTAGTTCATCCTTCTCCTGGTCACCTTTGGTCCTTCTGGTAGACGAAACAAGATGGCCGCCTTTATACACGATGAATAGTGTTGTGCGGCTTCGGATTGGTCAACCTCCCTTTGGTCGACTATAAAGGGAAATAAGTCATTCTGACTCGCTCACTAGTTATACGTAATATATACCCAAAAAACCATAACACATAATACCTCATCTCAGAAATATAGACAGAAACTAAGAGGGTTAGAAGGTAACAGGGAGTAATCTGCCTAACAAGCTCTGTAAATGGATGGCACAACAGAGATTTGAAAGGATAGTAAAATTCAAAGAATGCTTAGAGCTACAAAGGACAGGACCTTATGGCGAACTATGGTCACCCACGTCCCGAATGAACATGGTGCATAAACGAAGAAAGAGCACGTGGACGCCTCCGATAGAAGTGGAATGCTCTCTGAAATCTTCATTCTCGAAGACAAACGATTATTATTATTATTATTATTATTATTATTATTATTATTAGCGGTTCGGATTGAGGACTCGGAGAGCCGAGTTCGAATTTCAGTCAAATACATTAGATTCACTTACGTGCTAATAACCCTTGGGAAAGTTATAGAATCCTCTTCTTCCACCCACCACTCGCAGCCACGGGTAAATAGCAGGACAGACTGGGTTCTATAGCCTTGGATGGCAACTGGTCTACCGCAGAAAGAAATGGCAACCTACTGCGGGAAAAAAATCTGCCTCGTCAATCATGTATCGAAAGATACATGATCGCCTAAGCGTGAATCACTCATAGCACATAACTGACGGACTGACTTTCCAGTTGAATCCATTCCATTCACTTACGGGCTAATACCCTTGGGAAAGGTATGATTCCTCTTATTCTATTCCCCCCAGCTATGGGTAAATAGCAGGACATACCAGGTTCTATAGCCTTGGATGACAACTTGTCTACCGCAGAAAGAAATGGCAACCTACTGCGGAAAAATCTGCCTCGTCAGTCATGTATCGAAAGATATATAATCGCCTAAGCGTGTATCGCATGGCACGTAACTATTATTATTATTATTATTATCATATAATATTAGTGCTTGTCTTTCCCTTCGTTAGTACCTTAGTTCGCTAGTCCGTTACGCCGTGCCAGTACCTCCCAAATAATGGACTATTCCGTTTTGAGAAGACAAAAGACATATCAAAGACGCTACTTGGTTTCAGTGAGAAAATGAAAGAATGGAAGATAGAAGTGTTTAACGTCTGTTTCAGTGAAATGAAAAGAAATTGTCAATTTCAAATTTTTTCATTTACTATAAATAATCAACCAGCATTCATATTAATATTCTAAGCGTCGCTTAGATGTGGCACAAGGCCGAAAGTATGGGGCACCCACTGAAAATCGAACTCAATAATAATAATTATAATCGTTCTAGAGAGACAAGATTGCTAACAATACACCCCGTCGAGGTGCCCAAATATTCGTATTTATGATTGTTAGAGCAATATTTTGTTAAAGTTATTTAGCTGAAATATTTAACGACACGATAGAATTTATATGCATATCTTATTGTTGTAGAACTCGCCATTAACTGAAGAATTATAATTCATAAGAAATTTAAAATAGGAAAGCCGTTAAATTTTCACTGATTGTTGTTGTTATTATTATTATTATTATTATTATTATTATTATTCATGTTGTTGTTGTCTGATAATCTTATTGCCTACAATGTCTTCTTTTTCCATTACCAGCCCAGAACCTCAAAGCTAATATTTACGAGACGATGTTTAAAGAAAAACTGGTCAGGCCACCCTCTCTTCGCTCTCCTTTGCTTATTCAACAACTGGGCTACACCCAGTAACGAATTAGTGCACTCTGCATTCACTGCAAATGCTGCACACTATAGAGTATGCAATATGCAATGCCCATAACAATGCAACCGGCTGCGTTGCAGCTTAAGTAGCACAACTAATGGGCGCTTACGAAATACGTAACGCGTTGTCATTGGATCAACTGAAACTCCAGCTCATCATAATAAAAATGAAATTGAAAAAAACAAGTCAGGCAATAATACGAATATTAATAATATTGGTGAGTAGCACAAACGCAACTGCAAATATAACACGTAGATATAATGACGTCAGTAAAAAAAACATTTATTTATATTCCATCCTTTTTCTTTCTCTCCCTCTTTCCATCATTTGCTTTCGATCAATAACATCTTGCGTTACATTTACTGCTACGGATTTCGAAGTTTCCAAGGTATCTCTCGTTGATCCTGACTCTATTACGTATCATATTTACATGTTAATAGAACCGGAGCATTTATATTATATTATCATATACAGAAATACATGAACAAATAAGGGGATAT